CTCACTTCCTATCAGTTTACCCCAAAACCAACCCCCCCACTTTCACCCTCTCACTAACTTTAAAAAAACGGGAGTTAACGGGGGCTTCGTCAGTTGCTTATAACATCAGAAGGGTGTCAGTGGCAGTGAGTGCCTGTGAAGCATTTTACCAAATAATATACATTCCTTGTAAGGTAATGACGGAGACTCGTCGTAAATTCCGTGCATGGTTCGCAGTTGCAATGCAATGCCTGGGATGTATCATGCACAGTTCTTGTGATCATGCAGAATGCCTTCAATGTTGAATCACGTGATTTTAAGGACCGTTTTATTAATGATTTTCGTAATAATTAAAGTACCAAGTGAAATATATAAGTGATTTAATAACTGCACGTCGGAGTTTTAAAAGGAGATTTACGAAGTATAATGCATGTTTGGTGTTTGTGTGGGAAGGTTAGATGTAAAGGATTCTGAAACCAAATATACCTATTTACGGTTTTATAGAATAAAGGTCAAGCATTTCCGTATTTATCATCGAAACTAATGTCAGCGAGAGCTATGCATGAGTTAAAAGGACACCGCCTTCTTTTTGAGCATAAGAAATAATAATTTACACCACAAGTACAGCTGCTTCGGCCGTCTATATTTGGCGAAATTATGAAAATATATGCTGCATATCACTACACAGAGATGAAGTCCATAATGCCTTGCTTTGGGGACTTGGTCTGTGGAGGGTGTGTCGCTCTCCTAATAAACATCTATGAAGAGATATTTAGAGTTTATGACTGCTTTCATTACTTAATGAATATAGGTGAATGAAGTAATGAGGTATAATCAGATTAATTTATCATTGATAAAACATAATTAGAATGATTTACATGACCAGATAGAATTATCTGTTATTTATTCCTTAAGTCTATTATATGATTCAACTTTCAAAATCTTTAATGCCAAATTATATTTATCTGCAGTGGCAAATCTTTCATATATGTTCATTGGACCTTTCATTACTATCATGTTTGAAATTTAAGTATTACAGTACATCATTAACACCTGACAACCTGTATGGAATGTAAAATTTGACACTTAATTTGTAATTTATTTTTGCTTCTAAGATATAAAGCTGAAAACTATTCCAAGGTATCTTTTTAGCTGGAATCAATGAAAATGGTATAGGTTCAGTTTCACACGGCCACATTGGTAAAGGGAAACTTTGCTTGTAATGAATAGAATGACAGAAAATGACAGTTTTAATCTACGGTATTTCCCTTTCAAGATGATAATAAGAGTTGTACAACAGGAAATATTTAAGTATACCTTTACAGGAAAATGTAATCTCTTTATTTTAAAGAAAAGGAAAAACTGTACTTACTGATAGCCGAAATATTCTGCATACACAAAAAATAACCTCAGATATGAAAAATAGTTTGCAAATAATGTTTTATGTTGAATAAGCCCACAGTGACTGGGTTGGGGCTGGATATGGTGATTGGGTGGGGGGCTGGGGCCCTGATTTGGGAGGATTTTTGGTCTATGGCAACTTTCGTGGATTTCCTAGAATTAGCGGCAGTAATAGCAAATGTCTCAGGCTTGTGCTCCCAATACCATTGATTTTATCTATATCATATGTGAAAAAGGAATAATAATTGCACTGGGTGAACTAAAAAATTACCATGAGAATTATGTTTATTGTGCCATAAGAGGAATTCTGATTAATCTTTACGGTATAGACGCTTTAAGTTAGGGGAAGATGATATTCTTGTAGAGGACTTAATGTTGTAGTCATTGGTTGTATGGCGTGTAACACCACGCAGAGACCAAGACCAGAACACCCTTACACAGCCAGAGTTTCTTGATTATGTCAACATTTTTATGAATTTTGTGATGTGGAGTTGGGTATTTATTCTCCGGTGAGTGCATCCATACTGTGAAGAATTGTTTCTAATTGATTTATTAATTTATCCAGCAATAGAGTACAAGATGTTGTGGGAACCATCAGGATGCTGCTGTTTCAGCCTCAGGACTGGAAGTCTGGTGTTGGCCACCATAGTAATTGTAAGTGAAATTTTATGTTACGATTAGTAAACGTAAAAGTCTGAATTTGAGCAATAATTGAAAAATGCCAAATGTGCTTGTATAGTGTGTTGATATAGTTAATTTCATTCTGTTGTTGATATTCTTCCCTGTTTCATAAATATCATTATTGAATGTGGGTTACTATATTTGAACTAGGAAATTACATGATAAGCAGTGCCTGCATAGGTTAAATTATTACCACTTCACATTGGGTGGTAGGAAGGTGTGCTGATGATTTCACAGGTGAGAAAATGACAGGCATGGATATATTACTCTACAGTGCTACTAGAACTAGCACTGAAACATTGGGACCTAAATGTGCCTACTAGAGAGCACACTCTTTTGTTTCAAAGCCACTCAGGCAATTGAAATCTGGACTTTTTACCTCATGGCCATTTCACTGGTTTACTTGTGGTTTCTCTGCTTATGAGATTGTCTGTGCAGGCGCTTGCCCTCTGAGGCCTCCATGAAAATTTATTGGTAACTATCACAGATCACAACATGTCTGAAGTAGATTGGGATGTTAGACAGCCAATGTAATTACAACATTAAATTCGCATTTTGAAAGCCACACTAGGTCTCCTCTGAACACCAACATCATCACTATCTTCATAATCACCACCACTTGTAGTTGTAGTTGAAGTTGCATTGTTTTTAAGGTCCAACAGGATAATGTTACATCAGTTCTAGAAGCCATGTATTTTAATCACAGACAAGGAAAAAAATAACTTGTAACCATTCTTGCAGGTATCTGCGTCACTGAGCATCATAAATGAGATTGGTGTTCTCACTGTCGGGGATATAGAGAGCAACATGAGAGAAGTTTGTGAAGAAGAAAAAAAGGAAGGAAAAGTTGAAGAGGATGTGGAGGATTGCATTAATTTTTTAACCCCAATAGGTAAGAGCATTAATGAAAACAAAAATATTTATTATACTCATCTTATCATTTCTTTTCTTTCTCTTTTTACATTTTTGTATGAATCTTTACCCTCTCATAATGGCTGATATCCAATTATGTCATAGCCAGACTATTTCTCTTGCCAAAATGACATATCATCTTTTTGTGTGGTTGGGCCTGCTATAAGCTGTGCACACTAAACAATTGTTCACTTGTTTGGTCCAGGCTGTGGTTACAGAACAGAAATACCTCCTCAAAAGTAGGCTTAAAGCCTCTTTTTGGCCTCATAACCCAATCAGTTATTTATGTCACTGCCAAGAGCATATAGAGCAGGGTAAGTTTTTATTTCCTGAACTTTTGATTTTTTTCCCTTGAGTAACTAATTACTTTATAGTTAATTTATGGCAGTGGAAGTGTGTGAGGGGACCAAAGTGCATTATTATGTTGACACAGTCACTTATCTCTCATTTACACTTTTTATGATAGATGATAATGAAAAATATATATGTATATGATATAGAGGTATCAAAGTTATGGTGGATGATGGTGATAATTGATAAATAATAATAATAAGAAACAATAGAAAAGGGATCACAGCAAGAATTCATTTATGTGTAATTTAGCCAACATTCTTGTATACCCTTAACATAAATTTCTTTTACAGTGCTAGGAGTATTGATAACAAAGCTTGTGTTGGATGCCATACAAATCACAATTAGTGCCTTCTTGGTCTATGGAATCCTCAAGGTACGAACAGACATAATGGGACAACTTTGTTATGTGTGCTTTACATATTGGTTTTACTTTGTTTCCTAACCTCATTGAGATTAAGATTGTTGTGGCATTTCTTATATGGATGCAATTGTTGATTTTTTTTTTTTTTTTTTTTTTTCTATCACCTAATTATCTTTTGTCTTTCTCCTGCAGAACAAGACAAGATTCATGATACCCTACATGATCATGGTACTGATTGGCATCATCATAATGTTGCTGGCTGCCTTGGTAGCGATTGGCTTTTTCGCCTATCTTGGCTTTTGGGTTGGTGTCTTCATCTTTGCCCTTATCTTCGGCCTGATTATTTTCCTTGAGACTTACTGCCTTCTGGTTGTACGTGCGCTTTTCCTCCAGGTGAGTATTTATGTTTTAGTTAGATTTTTATATACTTGTTTATTTTTCTGTGTGTTTTGTTCACGTCTTTTATACACATGTAGATGATCTTTGCATCTTCCATTATATTGTAATGCTAGTTGTTTTATATATATATATATATATATATATATATATAATATATTATATATATATATATATATATATATCCCACCCCTCCACCCACCCACTCAAAGTTCATTTTTAAGACAGGTTATCCTCAGGATATGGTAGTTCTGTTCTTGAACCTGTACCATAAAGTGGAGGAACCTAAGACGAGAAAGCCCATTACGCATTGACTAAAGAGAATAGGCAGCATTCCCCAATCTCCTGTTTGACTTTATGACACTCAAATATATGAAAGTAATTGAATCTGTTAAAATAAAAACCCTTTAAGTAAATGATGGAATTAAATTAATGTACAGAATAATAGAAGACAGATATACAAAGCTTAAGAGTTAGAGAAAAGCTTGGTGACTGACAATGGAGGGGAACAAGGATGGCAGGTCACGAAAATGTCAAGCTTGAGGAGCTAGGAGAGGGCATCCCTGGTATCTCCTCTTCTGCTGTTGCTTTGCAAAAAGAGCTATCCAATGTGGCCCCTGTGTTCCATTTCTTCCTCTCCTTGTTTAGTTCTTCACAAGAGCAAAAACATTCTCTGACCTCCCATGTACCTCTCAAATTTCTTTCCCAGTTCTGGTCAGAGTCATTGATATTAGGTCCACATGGCAGAAAAGCTTGGCTGTCTGCTATACAGTTGGTTCTTTAAGTTTTTCTCATCATTTCAATCACGGTGCTGCAAGAATAAATCGTGTGGAATGTGTTTTTGGAAAATCCAAGCTAATTGTCACTTTTTTTTTTTTTTTTTTTTTTTTTTTTTTTTTAAGTTGCATACAGCAAGGGGAGTAATTATGTGATATCATTATCAAAGAGCTGTGTAACATTCTGCAGCAAGTGAAATACTCTTGCACTTTCTTTTCTTCTTGCTCTCTTCATCATTACTTGATGTCCTATTGATAGCCATTTTTGAGATCTATATCTCATAAGAGGCAAAAAATGTCAAAATGTGAGTGGTCAAGGGCCCCAACATTAAACCCAAACTTTTTGGTAGTGTCAGGTGATGATGACATTCATTTGTGCATTCATGGGGTGATGAGGTGTAAACCATTGTCTATGACTTCACCATAATGTGATATCTCATCAACTGTTGCCAGTAGGTTATCACCATTGACTTTCAGCAATCCCTTTGTTAACCTAATTAAGTGAAGTGACAATGAGCAGTTTGTGTACAAGAATATTTAATGTAGAAAAGCTATGAAGGAGAATGAATATGTTCATAATACAAGAAACTCATTCTCATTCTTAGCTTTTCCACATTTATTGCCTGGAATAAGGTTCAACATATAATGTCTCACCTCATTTCAGCTGAAACGCCAGAAGGGACGCCACCACATGATCCTGACAGAGCAAGGGTATAGCAGAGCCAAGACAGAGGAGACTGTAGAGTATCAATAAGCAAAATACACTGATAAAACCTGTCTAGAAACTGCATGGAAGGCATGTGGTTGTCTAGATAGGGATGCATATTCATGACCAAAATTCTCTGTTATTTGTAAGAATAACATGTGAGGGGAAAGGTGCAAGGGTAGCTGGAATTCATAAGGTAGTCTAGAATTTATCTTTGAGAACATAATAAGTTTTGTTTAAGGAGAGTAAACAAATAGAATATTGATTTTTGATAATCATATTAGCTTGACAATTTCTCAATAAATATCTTGGACTTGGACATAGTGGAGCATGTCTGTGATTTGTGCAACATTTTGCATCATTTGCATGACTGAATTATATATAAAGAAAAAGAAAACCAGAATGCATTATTAGAAAAAATGGTCACAGTTTTGTTTGCACTTTTTTATCATGACATTACTTAAATATTTAAACATAAGGTACAGTCACTCCTAGCTCATGAACCTCGGTGAACCTAGGAATTCATAGGTCAGAGCCACAAGGGTTCATGAGCTGCACATAAATTTTGGGAAAGTAAAAAAAAAAAAAAAAAAAAAAAAAATACAAGAGAAAATATAATAGATAGTTATTTTTGCATGTATCTGTAATTAGTTAACATGCAGTACATGATTTTTTTACGTGTTTCTTAGTATCACTTTTATTGTGTGTTTGTGTGAGTAGATTTATACATATGTACACGTGTATACATGTATGTATTTTTCTGCATATGAATGATTAAATACTTTAGTTAATTTTACCTGTGACTGCTTGTTTTGTTTGTTTGTTTTTGTTTTGTTTTGTTTAGATACCTTTGTGTGGCAGGCATTGTATGGAGACATTCTGCTGAGGTGGGGTCCTGATAGTGGGCAATATATATGATATATATAAACATATAAATATATATGAATATCTATAAATATATATAAATATGTGTGTAAAGTAATTATGTATATTATATATCTATCTGTCTGTCTACCTGTATATATAATGTATATATATAATGTGTGTATATATATATATATATATATATATATATATATATATATATTATATATATATATATATAATATATATGTACATATACTTAAATGTGTAAACATACACATGTGCATGTTTGGCATCACCCCACAAAAATATACCTGGCTCATGGGGTTTAATATTAAATGCATTGCCTGCCACGTAAGGGTTAAAAGATGCCAGCAATAATCATAGCATTTTATTGACATATATATATATACCACAGAATTTATACTGTATAGCAACTTACACAGAATATGAATTTTTCTGAATAGAAAATGTGCATACCACAGTTTCTTGGAGTATTTTTTCAATGCATGTTATTATTTTTGTACTCCTATACACAGTGTATATCCCATAAATAAATTGGTTATAGTAGTGTAGTTCTATAGTTTTGTAACATTAAACTTTACTTGTCAGAACATAGCGGTACAGTAATGGAACAGTTTTTTTAGGTAGTTAAAAACTATAATCTGCTTAAGCCAGAAAGCATAAAAGATGTGAAAAAGCCTTTATGTGTTTCCTAAGTTATTTTGCTTAATACAGAAAAAAGTTACTGTTTTAATTTGTGACTTGTGTAGTTCAGTTAGCATATGTTTCAGTTGAAATCACAAACTCGAAATAAAAACAGTCGAGAGGTATGGCATGGATTATATAAGAACGTGAATCATAATAATTAATCAATGCTCCCAGGAAGATTTTGTGTTCACTGTAGTACTATTCTGTCAAATGTCTCTACACATAGATGGCTCTGCCAGTGCTTATCCACAAAGGAGTCAATTAGCAGACCTTTATGACCTCACCTGATTTCACCGTTCCTTGGGTTTGTGGGAAAACTTTTTTTTTTTTTTTTTCCTAAAGCTATCAATATTGATACTGTTATTTTTATCATAAACATCATAATTACTATATTGCTATTGACATTGCTAACAGCAATATAAATTACCCTGAAAATATGATTGAAAATCAAGGAAAAGGATAAACAGGTGAGACAGGTAGTTCTCACAATTGGCTCATTGGTGACAAAGTACTTGTGGAGCCATCTGTGTGTGAAAACACACAGATGTACATACATGCCATCCCTGACAGCATGTTGTTAACACATTTTTAGATGTAAATGAAATGTAAGACTGGAGAAAGGAAAAAAAATTGCAACAAATGAGAACATTATTTATATAGTAAGGCACATCTGACAGATTCTATCCCAAGAGGTACCAAAAAGAAACTTGCAGAGGAGGAGGATCAATCTCCAGTTAGTGATATTTATGTGTAATAGTAGCTAGATTAGCAAGTAAAATTCAGAAGATAGCTTCAGCTGTATGTCTGTCTTACTCTTGTTAGTGCACTTTTGAATTTGAAGAGTAATTTGTATTCTTTGCAAAAAGTCTACAGATTTTGAAACATTTCAAATATAAAAAACATGAGAGGTCATGATCATTTTAATGCTGTCAGCAGCATTTTAGTCTAATTTCACATCCATCTTTGATTTCTAGATTCGACCTGTAATTCTGGTAGTCCTTTTTTTAATTAAAATTTGGATTTTGAAAATACATAGATAATTCAGATAACATCCACACCTTAATGAGACCAATTATATTAATCTCTCTAAAAAAAATGCAATGCGATTTCAACCCAGTAACTGAATTTCTGCCAAACAGAAAATGCCAAAAAACATTTTAGAACCAAAAGCACTCAAAGAGTGCATGCCTCTGCCAGGGCAATAGAGTCACTTGTACAATAAAAATATTCACACCTGAAGAATTACATTAAAAGCACCTCTTTCTCAAATACACTGGATATGTCCATAAACATAACCTCCTTGGCGGAGGTAATAAAGGTAATGATAATGATAATAGTAACCCTTATTGCCTTGGCAATAGGAGTAAGTGATGCAATGATTTTAAAAAATTTTAGATCCAGATCATGATCCGGAATCTATGTTAGTCTTAGACACGCCTCTAGTAAAATTTTAAAAATAATCTGTTCATAACATTTTGAGATATATTGCTAAACAATGAATAAACAAACTCAGAAGGATGAATGCTAACCTGCTGGATCTGGGTGACATGAATGTCATGTCATAAACAAATCATGCAAAATTTTGGCTGAGGACAGAAATGATTGGAGCATGTTGTGGATAGATGGATTGGATCTACTACTTGAACTGGTCTATATCTCTTTGAGGAGTGAGTGTGTGGGTGTGAGTTCTCACAGGTATGGCTGGATGTTGGAGATCCACAGGGGGAGCTGGAGAGGCTCCCTGTTGGCAAAGGACTGGGTAGTAGTTGCAGTAGTGCTGCTTATAGTGATGCTTTAGAGGATCGTAGATTGCTGATCTCAATAATGGATTTCGGAGTTTGAATACTCAGAAGCTATATTAACTATCCAGAAACTAGGGGTCCTGCAGTCCAATGAGAGAGCCAGGAGGTGTCCATGTGAGCCAGTCAGGTCTTGGCATGGAGTCGCAAGAAGCACTTGCTGGTGAGTGAGGGAAGACAATTCTGTGGACCTGGTGGGACCAAACCTGGGGCCGGATTTACTAAACTCTCTCGTAACAGTTACGAGAACTATCAACGATTTCTCAACTAGCGACTTTACGACCTATTTTCAAAAGCTAGACAACAAGAGCGCAGGGGTCTTGTAACAGTAACGACCGAATTTTCTATCACTAGATGTCATAGGGCTTTATTTCCTAAAAATACGGCTCGATCGACCAATCAGCATTAGCTCGGGAAAAATCGACCAATCACAGAACGTTATCCGCTGAACTGAGGCAACACTAATGAGTTTTACTTAAAACAGTTTCTATATCACCACCTGGTGAATCATCACCTTTTATTGATCTTTACCACCTTTATAAATAGTCTTATAAATTCTGATACTTTATATATAGATATAGATATAGATAGATATATATATGCATTATATATATATATATATATATGCATAATATATATATATATTATTATATGCATAATATATATATATATATATATATATAATATATATATATATATTATATATATATATATATATATATATATATATATATGCATAATATATATTATATATATATATAATATATATATATATATATATATATATATATATATATATAATATATATATATATTATATATATATATATATAATACACACGTGTGTGTGTGTGTGTGTGTGTGTGTGTGTGTGTGTGGTGTGTGTGTGTGTTGTGTGTGTGTGTGTGTGTGTGTGTGTGTGTGTGTGTGTGTGTGTGTGTGTGTGTGTGTGTGCATACATACACATATACATACACACATACATACATACACACATACATACATACATACACACACATACATACACACACACACACACACACACACACACACACACACACACACACACACACACAACACAACATTATATACATGTGTGTGTGTGTGTGTGTGTGTGTGTGTGTGTATATGTATGTGTGTGTATGTAGTATGTTGTATGTATGTATGTGTGTATGTATCACACACACACACACACACACACACACACACACACACACACACACACACACACACACACACACACACACACACACACACACACACACACACACACACACACACACACATACATATATATATATATATATATATATATATATATATATATATATATATATATATATATATATATGTAGGCCTATATATATACACATGCCAAAAGATATGCAGTACATGTATATATCTAGTCATATATATATATATATATATATATATATATATATATATATATATATATATATATATATATATATATATACATATACATGTATATATTTTTGTATATATAGAATTATATGTATATATGCATGTATAATATAGTATATATATATATATATATATATATATATATATATATATATATATATATATATATATATATATATATATATATATAGACACATATATGTAGAGGGAAAGAGATCACACACATATATATTCATATCTATATCTCACAAAAAAAAAATCAAGCATTTCGTTATATTTTCATAAGATATTATGATAGAAATTTGTTACAATCCAGTAAAACATTCATCTTAATCATTATTCATAAAGAAATGGATCCAATGCTAAATGTAATTTTACATTAGGCTATTAAGAGGTGTGTTTGTATATTGGTAACATTTGTTATTAAATATTTATTATGTTTTGTTGCTATAGAGGAAAATAGTCATAATGATGGAATTATGCATTTTCATTCAGATTTCGTACTTGAAGATGTGTTAGAGATCCTTTAATTCATGATAAATTAAACTTTCCGCACCTCTATGCATTGGCAAAGGCCAATCCTTATTTACATTAGTCATATTGTTTTTTTCCGTTACTATGCATCATCAGTAGGTTGCTCTTGCACATTAATTCATTTCCACATGGCAAAGTGACATTTACACAATCCTGAAGGTATTTATGAAGCTGATATGAGCTGAGGAGGGTCGCTTCGATAATCGTCACGAGAGGTTGCGGGCTCTCGTAAACGGAGATGTGTTTACGACCTCGGGAGTGTTTCGAAAATACGCTCGATGCAAGAAACGAGAGAGTAACTGGTTTTACGATATAAACAGACCATTTACTATATCGTAAGACGTTAGTAAATCCGGCCCCTGAGAAGTATACTGTGTTTTAGGTTGCAAGGTCATGCTGCTACTGGCATTCCCCCTTTGGTGAGTGAGCTTAACGAGCAAACGATATGCCATGTCATGTCACTCTGAGGTCACCAGTGTGGATGAATTGATTGCATCTACCACTTGAACTGATCTATATCTCTTTAGGGAGTGATTTTATGGTTGTGAGTTCCCACAGGTCTGGCTGGGTGTTGGAGAGAGAGTTTGAGATCCACAGGGGAGCCGGAGAAGCTCTTCGTTGGCAAAGGATTGGGCAGTCCTTGTGTTGCTGCTGCTTGTAGTGATGCTCTGGAGGATTATGGTCTGCTGATTTTAGTCCTGGATTTTGGAGCTTAAATACTCTAAAGCTGTATCAACTATCCAGGAATGAGGGGAGCCTGTGGTCCAATGAGAGCTATGAGGTGTCTGTGTGAGCCAGTCAAGTCTCAGCAGTGAGTCACGAGAGGGAGATTAGACTCTGTAGGTCTTTAGGAAGGGGATCTTCTACTATTTCCACTGGTGATAAAGGTTGAAAGTACAATGTGTGAGCCATGGCTAAAAGAGTAGCAGCTCCAGAGACACATTATTTTGATGCGATATAATCTGTTCTTGCCCTCCTTGACCAAATGGCAAAAGGTGTTATGAAATATTGATATTACAAAAATTAAAATAATAACATAACAAACACATAACTACTTGTTATTGTTATTGTAAAGAGTTATAGACTACTCAGAGAGATAATATGGAAGTTGATCAACAAAAACAGTCTAATACCATATTGAATCGGTAGAACACATGACAAATGTAGATCTTCGAAAATGGCAAAAGTTCAAAAAATGCATAGGCAGAATAAGAGCTCCTAGCATTGCTAAGAGCCATGATACAGTGCATGTGAGTTGGACCTGCAAGCCACACACCTAGGGGAGTCACCTCTCAAGTGGGCCTAAAATCCAGATTTTGGGCCACACGGGAGCTGCAAGGCACCAGGTTCCAACAGCATGAATTGTCAACATACCCAAATTAGATATACTGTCTAGGTGCAAGATAATGTTTACTTGACACCTCATTTATGCTATTGTCCATAAAGGCTTATCAGAAAAAGGTCTTGGGAATTGCCATGTGCAATCTTCCTTCTCTTTTAATGATCTTTTCCAACTCTGTTGTAACAATGTTACTTAGTCTTTAATTTATTTTTCTGTTCATGCTAGCTTTATAGAAAAAAAATGTCTCCTGATCCTTCTTCCCTCTCCTTGGTTGGCTGATGGATATGGTTCAGACATATTCATCAAATTCAGACTGCAGACTTGTGCCTTGTAGGGTACCCAGACTGCCCTTCAATTGTAATTAAAGAAGCTTTTGATTCAGCCGTCCAAAAATGCCTGCAAAACAAAAATCCTTGAATCCGTCCTGTTGCACTTGCAACATTAATGGATCTTCAGAGTTAAAAGAAAAACATCCAAGATATAAGATTATGCCTGGCAAGCAGTGCCTTCACAAGGCAAATTCTATAGGGCATGGTCATATAACTTGAATCATTAAGCAGCCTTACATAAGTCATTAGGTATTATTACAGGCGGATGTTTGAGTGTGATAGGGGAATTGTTTGATGATTTTGCTCAAGTATGGACATGGGTATTTCATTGATTTGCCCATCAGAGTTGTCTACAGCTTTTACCAGTCCCACCTGCTGGGCATGCCTAATCAAGAAATGATGCATTCACTTTGTAGAGCAATGCCTGAAGGGCATGAAGGCTGTACTCATCGTTGAGCAGGAAATAATCCAAATGTCTACACGAAGAGTTTAACAAAATTACCAGACAATGGCCGTATCACCTAACCCCTTACTGGTAGTACTGGTTTCTGGTCTGGTCACTCATTGACTCAACTGTTGTGACAATATTACTGGCATTGCCCACAGACTACCTGGGCAACTATGTCAAGATGACATAATATTTAAGCACATTGTAATATAACTATGGTTTTGATACAAGCTTTTTTGACTACAAACCTTTTCACAAGTTCTAGAAAAAGAAATTGCATTTTAAGATTCGGGTGCCAGTAGAATTGGTGATGCCATCATCTAAAATTATCAAATTTAGTAGAATCAAGCTTTGTCATTGGCCAGCTCAAATGGTTGTCATTATTACAACATCTTATCTTGCATTATATTTTTATGTTACAACTAAAATGTTGAGAACTATGAGAACATCTTGAACTCTGCATACTAAGTATGACTCTTTAAAAAAAGATGAAAAAAAAACTTGTATGCAAAGCATGGACCACCAGAAAATCAGTACATTAATTGGAATGCTTCCTACAAACATTAGAGGTGGTAATCTCTGCAGGTGCTTTCCCTTGGTTTGGACTCTTTAGAATGATCCATATTTCTGATTTCTTTCTGATGAAAACAAAGCTGTTTTAGGCTTAAGTGTATAAGTTAGTAACGGGTACAGAATACTGCTTTAAAAGCACAGAGATTAAACGTGTTTCAAATAATGCCTTAACATGTATGCTTATGCTTGCCTGCCAAAAAATCACTAATTGTAATTACATTTATATATACAAATATATTGTAAATGTAAAAATT